ATCTTCAACAAATACTACTTGAAATTTAAAGAGTGAAATCAAGGATAAAGCATGATGTCTATGTAATTTAAACAAGGTTGGATCATTCCATATCACATGAAAGAGTTTTAAGTCTTCAAGGAATGTAACACTTGAAATTTAAAGAGTGAAATCAAGGTAAAGCATAAAGTCTATGAAATTAAACAAGGTTGGAACATACCATATAACATGAAAGAGTTTTAAATCTTCAAGGAATGCAACACTAGAAATTCAAAGAGTGAAATCAAGGCAAAACATAAAGTATATGAAATTAAATAAGGTTGGAATATTCCATATAACATGAAAGAGTTTTAAATCTTCAAGGATTGCAACACTTAAAATTCAAAGAGTAAAAATAAAGATGAAGCATAAAATCTATGCAATGAAACATGGTTGGAATATTCCATAAAACACGAAAAGGTTCTTAAATCTTCAAGGAATAACACTTAAAATTTAAGGAGTGAAATCAAACAATGTGGATACTCGGATATCGCCCGGATTAAAACCGTACTCTTGGGATCACTTTAGGGCTACTAACCCATGGGTACCTTCCCCTAGTGGGCACTCTAAGATAGAGAACTCTCAATATCTCCCATACTAGAACCAAGTCCTAACCATGTCAAATCTTGATTGATATCACCGAGTTTCCAAAATCAATAAGTTGTGCAAGTCAAGATAGTATCAAGATACAAGTAATGCATTAAACACATTTCATGCACAACTAAGATTTTGGAAACACACAAGTCATGCCTTAAGTTCTCAACTATGATGGCATGTGAAATGTCAAAAAATCATAGTTTGCATCTACATAGACTACAAATTAGGATTTAAAACACAAGGAATTCATTCATGTAAATATACCACAAGTATAAGATTAATGATTTAATTATTTACTAAGCAATACATGGATAATTAAATCATTCGAAGACAATTGTGCTAGTTCATTAAACACATTAATGAAGTCAAGTTACAAGAAGTCTAGATACATGATAAAGAGGTAAAAGCCCCATGAAATACAAGTTACAACCATGTGAATTAAGTTCCATACAAAGAAAATAATTAAATAAAAGTTTCAAAACTTATCCGATTATTTTCAATTTGATACACGTGAAGGAATTTGTCAAGGAAATCATGAATACCAAGTTAGAAACTTAATCAAGCTCATGGAGCCATTGAATAGATTTTAATTAATTCTTTTAATTAAAATCTCTAAATTTTAAAACTTATCCAAATGCTCTCAAATTAAAGTATGTTATAAAACATGACAAGACTTGATTTAATAGCCTAATACATGTGATTTCCATACAAGATACAACCATGATAATTAAATTTTCATACAAGAAAATAATAAAATGAAAGGTTACAAAACCTAATCAAATATTTTCGATTTAATATATGTGAAGGTATATGGCATGCACATCAATAATATCAAGTCGGAAATCTAATGGAGTGAATAGTAAACTCAGAATAAATTAATTAATCAAATTAATTAATTATCTCTAGATTTTAAAACATCTTCGAATACTCTCAAATTCGCATATATTGAAGAGTATGGTAGGGCCTAATATAATATGACATCACATATTGATTTCAAGCTAGATAAGGCCACATGAATTAAATTTTTATTCAAGAAAAATATTAAATAAAAACTTCAATGCTTGTTGAAATGCTCTCAATTTAATATATGTCAATGAACATATCACTATGTAATTTAATAGCATGCCATAAGTTTAAACTAAGCTATAACCAACCGGGAGAATTAAATCTCATATAAGAAAATAAATAAATAAAGTTTTTAGATTTAATACAAAGGCATGTGATTAAGTTGTATAAGCATGGAATACACTCAATATAACCAAGATATAAACCTAAGACATCCCCTACCTCAATTTGAGATGAAATCCCAAATCCCCACCGAAAGAAAAATGCTCCGAATCTGACGATACCTCGGGGTTATGTCGGGGACAACGAGAGGAACAACTTTAACCTTTAAGGAACCATGAAAATCTAAACCCGAACTCAAAAGTGGTCAGAAATGGATTCTAATAAGGGGGAAAGGTGCGCGTCGTTAAGGCCTTCGATAAATGCTAAGGCACTACAACTTTTTACATGAGGGAAGAAGGCTGAAATGAAGGAAGAAGAGGGGCAGCCATGGCTGCCATGGATGGCCAGCCAAGAGAGGGGAAAAAGATGATGAAAATCAGTTTTTTCATTTAAGTTATTCTATTTATAGTAAAACCCTGAAAGTGCCCTGAAAGGGTCCCACCGGGTTTGGAAAAGTGAAATTTGAGCAGATGCACTCAAATGATAGAACTTTGTGATTGAAAAGAACCAAAATGAGAAAATATGAACAACAGAAGAAACGACGTCAAAAACTGAGTTCCGTGCAGAAAGATATGTCCCGAACAAGTTCGGTAGCAACTATGGTTAGAATTCCCTAAAACTGGTAAAAAATGACCGGGAGGATATTCTGAGAGTTCACGACTTGATGAAAAGTGAAAATGAATCCCGTACGAGGATCCAGGCTCAAAACAAGGTATTTTGCAATAACTTTCGTTTATTGCACAATGGCCCCTATAAAAAGGGATAACTACAAAACTACCCAGAATGAAAATATATTCCAAAAGATATTTTCTTAAAAACCCGTGAAATAAAACACCCCAAGAAAAGAAAATATTTCTGAAGAACTATGCATCCATGCCTCTATAGACACCGGGAACAACCATAGTACTTTTCTACAAAAGTAAAGATACGTATTTCATGGAAAGCATGTAGAATGAAGATATGTGAAGTCAAAAACCAACTCCAAGCACAAAAAGTGAGGTTGTGCCAAAAAGTGGCAAACGGGGAAAAAGAAAAATGAATAGTGTCCAAAAAGTGAAAATGTGGAAATGACTTGGTCCTTAAAGAAAGTTGTCAATCCAAATGAAAAAGTCTCAGAAAACATTTTCATGCACTTGAGATGACACCCAGTGACAAGAAACAGAATTCGGAAAAGAAAATTAAACGAAAAAAAATTTATCCGTAAAATTTGAGAAAAAAGAAAGGAAGGAAAATAACTGGGTCATTACAATTTCACCATGGGGCGTGCCAGTATTTTTTGCTAAGAAAAATGATGATTCTATGAGGTTATACATTGATTACTAGAAATTGAATCATGCAACCATCAAGAACAAGTATCATTTACCCCGGATTAATGATTTGTTTGATTAGTTAAGGGGAACTATTTTCTTTTCCAAGATTGATCCGAAGACAGCTTTTTATACACGGTATAGTCATTATGAGTTCATTGTGATGCCTTTTGGTTTGACTAATGCACCAGCGGCATTTATGGATGTGATGCACCGTATTTTCCACAAATATCTAGACCAGTTTGTAGTGGTGTTTGTGGATGACATTCTAGTGTTACAGATTCATTCGAGGATAGTGTTACAGATGTTGAGAGAGCACCATTTGTATGCCAAGTATTCAAAGTGTGAATTTTGGCTACAAGAATCAAATTTTTTAGGACATGTTGTTTCGAGTAATGGTGTATCAGTTGATCCTTTGAAAGTAGAAGTGGTTCTAGATTAGGAATGTCCCAAGAATGTGTTTAAGATTCAGAGTTTTCTTGGCTTAGCGACTTATTATCATAGATTTGTGACGAACTTTTCTCGCTTGGCCGCTCCTATGACTCGGTTAACCCGAAAGGGAATCCGATTTGATTGGACTGAAGCTTGTGAGTCATCTTTTCAGGAGTTGAAAATGAGATTGACTACGGCTCCAGTATTGGTGATACCTGAGCATGGCTTAGGTTATGTTATCTTTTGTGATACTTCTTAGGATGGTTTGGGTTGTATGTTGATGCAAGGTGGTAAGGTAGTAGCTTATGGATCTAGACAGTTAAAGATTCACGAGCTTAACTATCGCAGTCATGATTTAGAGTTGGCAGCAACTGTCTTTGCTTTGAAATGCTTGAGGCATTACTTGTATGGTGAGAGATTCGAGGTGTTCTCGGATCACAAAAGTCTCAAGTACTTATTCTCTCAAAAGGACTTAAATAAAAGATAGAGGCGATGAGTTGAGTACTTGGAGGATTATGATTTTGATATACAATATCATCCGGGTAAGGCAAGTATGGTAGTTGATGTCTTAAGTTGGAAGTCTCGTGGAGTTTTAGCTGGGTTAGCCATTTAGAAATGGAAGATGTTGGAGAATCTGGCAGAGATGGGATTACAGTGTTGTGATAGTAGTGTTGGCAGTGAGTCAGCTTTTTTGTTTAGTCTTGTGGCTCAACCTACTCTTGTTACACGGGTGATTGAGTCCCAAAGGCAAGATTCAAATTTAGCTGCCATTCATCAGTTGATTTCAGGTGGAGACACAGTAAAGGACTGGACCTTACACACAGATGGTGGTTTATGGTTCAGAGGTTTGATTGTGGTACCTACAGTTTGTCGGGAGGATGTATTACAGTAATTTCACACTTCTCGTTTTACTGTTTCTCCAGGTGGTACCAATATGTATTACAATTTAAAATGCCAGTATTAGTGGAATGGGATGAATAAGTATGTGGCTCAGTTTGTTGCCAGATGTCTTACCTGTCAGCAGGTAAAAACAGAGCATCAGAGATTTGCTGGTCTATTGTAGCCATTGCCTGTAGCGCAGTGGAAATAGGAGTGTATTACAATGGCATTTGTGACAAGGTTTTTGACGTTACAGAGGGGTAATGATTCTGTGTGGGTTATTATTGACAGATTAACTAAGACAGCTCACTTTTTGCCTATTAAGGCGACAGATACTACCGAGGCACTTGGCAGATTAAATGTCAAGGAGATAGTGAGATTACATGGGGTTCCTGTGTCTATTGTTTCGGATAGAGATGCCAAATTCACATCGAAGTTCTGGGAAGGACTTCACGTAGTGTTTGGTTCACCGTTGCATTTCAATATGGCATTTCATCTGCAGACGGACGGTCAGAGTGTACTATCCCGATCTTAGAAGATATGCTTCGGGCTTGTGTGCTTGATTTTGGTGGTAGTTGCGAAGATCATTTACCTCTTAAGTTTGTCTACAAAAATAGCTATCAGTCAAATATTAAGATGGCTTCTTTTGAGGCGTTGTATGGTAAGCCTTGTCGTTCTCTAGTTTATTGGATTGAAGTGGGTGAAATAGCCGCCTTAGGACCCAACATTATTTTTGAAACTACAGAAAAGATTAATTTGATTCGGCAACGGTTTCTTACTGGTTAAAGCCGATAGAAATGTTATGCAGATAGACGGAGACAGCCATTGTCCTTTGAGGTGGGAGACCACGTGTTTCTTCGGGTTTCTCCACGAAAAAGATTATTACGATTTGGAAGGAGTGGCAAGTTGTCACCTTATTTCATTGGACTATTTGAGATTCTAGATCATGTAGGCGAAGTCGCTTACAGGTTGGCTGTACAGCCACAGATGGACAGAGTCCATAATGTGTTTCCTGTTTCGATGTTACGGAAATATGAACTGGATCCGTCTCACATGTCGAGTTGGGTTGATGTTAACATTGATGAGGACATTTCTTATGAGGAGGGACCCATTCAGATTCTTGACACTCGGGACAAAGTGTTAAGGGGTAAGACGGTGCCTCTCGTGAAGGTTTTGTGGCAACACCACGGTGCCAAAGAGGCTACATGGGAAGGAGAACAGGATGTTCGTTATGCGTATCTGAGTTTGTTTTCTTTCCTAGGTATGACTTGATTTGGGAACGAAATCCTTTTATGTTGGGGAGATTGTGACGATTTGCATTTTTTCATTTTTTCGGACTTCACATTTTGTGCGCTTTTTTTTTTTTTTTTTTTTTTTTTTTTTATTTTTTTTTTAAGATTAGTGTTATTTTAATTAATTATATGGGATATCATTTGATGATTTCATGAGGTGTTATTGATTTTTATTATGCAAATGGCATAATTGATAGTTGGAAATATTTGGAAGGTTTTATGGTCATTTTGTGCGGTCATACTTTGACCACTTGTGGGATTGACACATGGGTGCATACTTGGCTGCACCTTATGCATTTGTGTGTTATATTGTAATAGCAAACTTGAAGCAATAGCATAGAGAATTCTGCAGAAACAATTTTTGTACTTTTGTTTCCTATCCCAATGTCACTATTTTTGAACTTTATTTTGAAGGCCTTGTGTTGGGAATTTGATGTAGCCTTGTGAATGAAAAGTGATATAGAGATCATGAACTTTCTTTTGGTATAAAAGGTTGTGTTGGTCTTTTCATTTTCTAAAGTTACAAAAGTGATTTTAAAAGAAAAGGTATGGTTGTATTTAAAAAGGGAGGTGTTCTTCGTTTCTTCTATTTTTGGTTGCTTTAATCCATCCTTTGGGTTGCTTTGATTTGTTGGTAGCAAGGTTTTCAAGCTTCTTTGAGGTTGCGTTGTTTAAATCTCACAATCTTTGCCTTTAGTGAGTTAATTCCTATTAATTTGTGTATAAAACAGTGCTAAAAAAAGAGTCTGTGTTTCAAGGGCTCGAGCCCAAACCCCAGAGCTCGAGCCTTGTTCTTCAGAATTCTAGAATTTCATTTCCAGAGCTCGAGCCAGACTTCTGGGGCTCAGGCCTCTGTGCTCAGAGCTCGAGCCCAACTTTCAGGGCTCGAGCCTTTTCTGCTGAAACTAAAAATTTGTCAATTGAGGTTGTGATTTCTTGATTTCTTGAGTATTAAGGTGTATACTTGTTTATTGTTGCTATTGAGCTTGTTTAAGGTGATAAGGTGTACACTTGAATACTGAAATTGTTCTTGAGTACTGTTATTGCTGATATGTTAATTATAATTATAGAAAAGGAAGCATGCTCAATGTGTTCAAGTTTAATGAAATGTAACCAAGAACTTAATATAAAAATGTTAAGTTGATTTTGATAATGAGCATGCTGTGTTGTATAGAAAACTAAGTTGATAATTGATATAGAAATGCCGCACATTATATCATTATAAATGTACATTCATCTCACAGGGTTTTGGGGATGAGTTTGGAATGGAAAGGTTTTGTGAGGATTATAAAATTGGTTTGGAAAGAATGGTTGAGGAAGCCAAACAAAAAGAGGAAACCTTGTGTCCGTTTGGTTAATGAAATCTAGAAGAGACATAGTTAAATGTCCTACGTGTGGCTGTGTCACTAGGTCCCAAATGACGGCAAGGGGGTAGCCTTGTGTCAAGGATCGATGACCAATTCTCTTCCATAATGCCGAGGAGGTTTGCCTTCGACCGGGATACACTAACTCGATAGTGGGTAACGGATGATAAGGATTTTGGGGAATGGGAAATAGTTTTGATGGTTATTTCATGGCATTGCATATTATTCCATGTGTTGTTTATTTTCCAGTATACTATAATCCCTATTCTCATTACGGTTCTTTGTTTGGATTCACGGAGCTATTAAGAAGTGTACTTTAGGCAACTCCTACTGAGTTGTTGTGCTCATCCCTATTTTATACACATTTTTTTAGGTCAGGGAAAGGAAGTCACAGAGGACGTTCCTCCCCAGCTATAGACAGATTTGGGTCTAGTGGTTGTAGTATTCTCTTTTGTTCAAAAGACAATGTATATTAGTGAGACAGTGTTGTATAATGTTGGTTAAGTTACATCCCTCTTATGTAATAAATGTTATTAGACTTTGAGACTTTAAATTTGTATTATGAGTTACTTGTTTAGTTTCAGATAGGGTATTATGATGGGAATGGATAGGGGAATATGTATGTGTGAGACAGATTTAAAGGGATTTTTATGTCTTTGAGACCTTGGTTATCCATGTGTTGTGTTCACAATCCGGACTCCAGTCTTGGGGCATGACAGTTAGCAAGCTTTTGGATGTTTACAAATTCTCGTGTGTAAAATTTTTAATGTAAATATTCTTGGGAGAGTTGATTAACAAGGATGTGTATAATTCTCATTGATGGGTGAAGATCATTAATCCACCGTTGGCTGGGACTATGAGAAGAGGGAAAACACCACGTGAGAGGAGGGAAATGCAGTTTCTAAATGATCAAAAATAGTGTACCAAACACATCATGTTGGTTTATTATGTAGTTTTTTAAGCTCCAAGTTAGCAGTCTGCTTGTGCTTTGTTTCATCTATTTTATGAGAGACTGATTAAAAAATTTATCTTCTAAATTTTCTGTATACAAAAAAAAAAAAAATCTTCAGTACTCTCTTTTAATTGAATGAAAATCTTGTGAATTTCAAATCTGTGCTATACATGAGCCTGTAAAACTCTAATTAATTTGTGTTAAACATTAATCACAAATTATCATAAATTCCTAAACTTAGAACTTCAATTAATTTCACATCCTTATAACGCATAAATAAATATAGTTAGATATACATACCTTGATTCATGATATCAAACCTTGTTGAAATTAAATCCAACGTCTAGATTCTTTAACCATGAACCAATTTGCAACACTGATCAACAGTCAAAGGCGGCAACTGGTTTCTCTCTCTTGGCCTTTTGCACACATAAAACTTTTACGTGTTGTATCTTTAATCGTACATAATTCATGGAGTATATGCAATTTTATAAAGACAGAGAGAGGACCAGTTTTCCTTTTAGTAACATAATTATACTTTCCATCAAAGTAAGAAATAAGAAAGGAAAACACTTCTCCAATAAGTAATTACCAAAAAAAAAAGGTAATTATAAGTTGACCAAGAATAAATAATATTAATTGATATCTATTTACTTAGCCACCAAGTAATATGTCACATGTCCAAATCATGTGGGCCACAATTAAATAAACAATCTTACATTCTCCCATTTGGCACATATGATAACTTCTGTAGTGGTTTAGTAAAATAGTCATTAGCGTGTACCATAAATCAAATTAAGGTATTAAGATGGTCATTATAAATACTATGGTAAACAAACTAACAATGTGAGTCATGGCGGTTGTATGTCCCTAAATGACACAGTCCCTTCCATGTACTACAACACTAGTAACCCATTTACCATAGTCTATAAGTGAGAAGCATCAATATAGGTCAAGCAATAATGTCTATTCTAAGACTATTCATGTTTTCATCATTTAAAGTAATACATGCATGTACACATATAAATTAACAGGAAATATCATAAACACATTTTAATGAGTTCAAAATGTCAAATATATATAAGCATTGTTAAGCAATCCACAACAAAATAATAATTAACTTTGATTACATTCAAGACCCATTCTTTCAACATGCCCTATGAATGTCTTGGGTGGTAATCCTTTTGTTAATGGATCTGCAACCATAAGTTGTGTGCTTATCTTTTCAAAAGACACTTGTTGTTTCTGAACTTCTTCTTTAACGGTAAGATATTTCAACTCCATATGCTTAACGCCATTGGAATACTTATCGTTTTTAGTAAAGAAGACAGCTGCGGTGTTATCACAATAAATTTTCAGCGGTCTAGAAATTAAATCCATAACACCAAATCCCGAAATAAAGTTCCGCAACCACAAACCAAGATTTGTAGCCTCAAAGTATGCTACAAACTCAGCCTCCATAGTAGAAGAAGCAATAATAGATTGTTTTGCGCTTTTCCATGATATTGCCCCTCCAGCTAAAAGGAACAAATAACCAAAAGTGGATCTTCTACTATCTACACATCCAGCAAAATTTGAGTCTGAGTAACCAATAACCTCTAAATCACCAGTCGTTCTAAATGTGAGCATATAATTCTTTGTTCCTTGTAAGTATCTCATGACTTTCTTTGCAGCTTTCTAGTGATGCATTCCTGATTTGCTTTGGTATCTGCCTAGCATTCCAACTGCAAAACCAATATCTGAACGAGTGCAAACCTGTGCATATATCAAACTTCCCACTATAGATGCATAAGGAATATTTTGCATTTCTTTATGTTCTAATTCATTATTTAGGCATTGCATTAAACTAAATTTATCCCCTTTCTGTATTGGAACAATACTAGCTGAACAATGTTCCATACCAAATCTCTCTAGAATTCTCTTAATATATGTTTTCTGAGGCAATCCTAACAATCCACGTGACCTGTCACTAAATATTTCTATTCCTATCACGTAGGATGCCTCACCCATATCTTTCATCTCAAAATTCTTAGAGAGATAATTTTTAGTTTCATGCAATAAACCAAGATCACTACTAGCAAGCAAAATATCATCAACATATAGAATCAAAAATATAAACTTACTCCCACTAATCTTCTGGTATATACACCAATCAACGGTATTTTCATTAAAACCAAAAGAAGTAATAGTATCATTAAACTTAATATACCATTGTCGGGAAGCTTGTTTAAGTCCATATATTGACTTTTTATGTTTACAGACCATGCATTCTTTACACTCTAATCTGAAGCCTTCAGGTTGATCCATATAGACTTCTTCTTCTAAACTCCCATTTAGGAAAGTTGTTTTCACGTAGGATGACTTTTTATGATACAACTCTAAATCATAATGAGCTATAAATGCCATGATAATTCTAAAAGAATCCTTCTTAGATACATGAGAGAAATTTTCTTTATAATTAATGCCTCATATTTGAGTGAAGCCCTTGGCTACAAGTCTGGCTTTATATCGTTCAATATTGCCATTAGAGTCGCGTTTGGTCTTAAAGACCCATTTACACCTGACTTGTTTAAATCCTTCAGGCAATTCAACGAGTTCCTAAACTTTATTTTATTCCATTGATGTCAACTCCTCATTCATGGCATTAATCCAATTAGTAAAATT